AATTTAAATGAATATGCAATATAATGCATTCCATATATTTTCAAAATGCTCCTCTCTATAGTTTCTTTTTTTCTAGCTGACCAATGACCTATGGACATTTACCAGAAGTAAATGTTACATTACGTGACATACGGTTTACAAGCTATTTGGTTTTGACATCTTTGGAAAAAGATTCATAAGGCTGATATATGGCTGATACCACAAATAATAAATAAAGTAAATAAAATAAATATAATAAAATAAAGTCTCAACTTATTAATCAAGTTCAAGTCACATATACATGCACAGTTGCACACACACACACACAATTAATGTACATGGACCAACCTGTCTGTTTATTTCAGCCCCACTGTGTAAGAGCCACAGCAGGCATTCTGGATTTCCTCCAAATGCAGCAATGTGAGCCGGGGTCTGGGTGAACTGTGTTGTCAGTGCATTAACTTCACATCCCACTTGCACCAGCCTCATAACACACTCCAGCTGTTTGTGACAGAGAGAAAAGTTTAAAAAAAACAAACAATCAACAAACCATTGAAATGACTTTGCACCATGCTTGTCAACACATGACCATCAATAATTCCAGAACATTTTATGAGATAAGGAGTGAGCCTTCAACTCAAGCTGCAGTTTACATCAGATTTCACAGTGGTTAAATATTCTCATCTTTTTAGAAGTGTCTTTTTATAATAAACACACGAGTAAGCAGAGACAACTAGACATAGACAAGTGTCTTACCTGACACTGTTTATATTTGAAGAGTTCAGATGCAAAAGCCTCTAAGTGCCATTTGAAATTTTCTTCTAGAATGATCATTTTTATCAAGCTTGTATATTTAAGTTCAGTGATTTCACTTAAATGGCAATGATAATTACCTATTAATTGTTATTTAAGTGAAATTACTGAACTTAAATAATATACAAGTTTGATGAAAATGATCATTAAAGAAGAAAATTTCAAATGGCATTTAGAGGCTTTTGCATCTGAACTCTTCATTTATTTTTACTGGTTGCATTTGTTAATTTTATGATTATATTTTTTTACGCCGGATACCATCCATATTGAAATCAAATTGGCTTTATGCACAGCTGCACTACTTCCTGAACTTCAGCCAGCTCCTTGTTCCCTGTCTGCCATTATTGGACAAACTGATTAATTCAGGTGTGTCTGATTATTGTTGCTGCGACTACTGTGGTCAGGCACACCTGAATAAATCAATTTGTCCAATAATGGCAGACAGGAAACAAGGAGCTGGCTGAAGTTCAGGAAGTAGTGCAGTGCATAAAGCCAATTATGCAAAAGATGCAAACGGAAGCTCAGGTAGTTCAAACCACACACACTTGACGCGAAGAAGCTTTAGTATAATACAACATTGGCAATCACAGACATTCACATGCGGACGGGGATAGATTTCTCGAGGAACGTTGAGTTTCCCGAAAACACGAGGTATTTTGCCCTGAAATTTTTACTGAGGTTTTGTAAGAAAAGCACTGACATGGCATGTTCGGACAGGATCAAAATCAAAGTACTCCTGTGAAAAACTAATTTCTCTAACGCCCTGCATGAAAACTAGTCCTGTGCGAATAGGGCTTAAGAAAAAAAATAAATAGTTTGAGTCCTGATCTCCTGACTAGGTATTTGAAGCTCATGCTTTCTGCTCTGTTGTCAGAGACCAGCAGCTGTGTTGCAGTTTCAACATGGTACACCACCATGGTGTAAGGGAAGTTTACTTTATTATATCCTACACGTAATTGTATTTTAAAAATAACACAAAATGTTCAAATGTACCTGATATGCTTGTCTGACATAGCATATATGTATGCATCTTTACCTTTAATTTTCTGACCGCATATATCTTGATAATTTTCATCTTTTTTTTCCTCCTTTTCTCTTTTTGCATTGTGTCTGTATGGGAAGAATGTGTTTGAATGAATGTATTATGGATATTATTACATTAAGGTTTTGCTTAGTACAAGTTAAAGTTATTGCACTGCTAATAACATTTCTTTCACAGAAATGTAAAGGGCAAATTCACATTGTGTGTCATTCACCAAGTTAATTCTTTGTAAATGTATCATTGTATATGTTTCCTTTCCTTTTCTGCATTCTATATGAGATTGTGAGAGAAATGTAAAGGGCGAACTCACACTGTAAAAGACTGCTTTATCTTTTCTATTACACTACAAGACAACATAATTTACAATGGGGCAACTTATTACCCTGTTCTCTGGCTGTTCTCCTTTCTTGACATTAATCAAACTCTCCAACACTTGGTAAAATTGTGGAGTAAATCCTTTAAAAACTTCCTAAAAGTCCTACCACCTCTGTTGGCAGTTTTAAGCTGCTTCATGACCAAATCATCTGTGAAATGTGCAAAATCAGCAGACGTTAGGAGCAGAAAACTTACACTCCTCTCCTCATCTAATATTTGGGAACTTAGAAAAAACAAAGAGGATAAATCAGCTAAAATGTATGGCAACACGTCATCACTGGTAGCTAAAATACAAAGAATAGTAAAAGGACTCTCAGAGGTGTACAGAAGTGTAGAATGGTCATCAAAAAAAAAAAAAAAAAAAAAAGAATTGTACTAAAGCTGAGGATTTTGAGCCTGTGAAGTGTGGTGTGGAAGTGTAAAACACAGCACATTTTACAGGACTGGTTCTTTGCTCAGAGGGTTTCTGTGGAAATTTCCATCAGGAATAATGCTAAAAATAGTTAGATACCACTAAGGCTTTTCATTTTTTCCATAATAAATGTTGGCATTGAAAAATAATGAGTTTTTGTATTTGAAATAACATCAGTATTAATCGTAGACATTTTCAACAACACATAAGCAAAAGCCTTCTGCACTACAACAAAACTGTCTATAATCTCATGTTACATCACTGGCCTAAGATCATGCAAACGGAAATAAATAGTTAACATTTCATGATAATATTGAACATGGGGATAAGAGGTCAACAGTGTCACTAAACACTTCCCCTCTGCAGTGAATTTGTATCATTTAAGTCACTGTTTGTATCTGTAAACTATTTAGGCGTAATAACAACATATTAAAAAAAAAACAGCGAGTGACAAATTACTGACATTTATTGTGCAGGCTTAATAATCAGGTTTAAAATAATTAAATCATGAATTAAAACGCGTGGCATTTAAATCTTAAAAATAAGTCCAAAAAATACGGACAACATTAAAACAACAAAAGAAAAAAAGTTTCATTTTAAATTCGCGTTTTTGGCGCGTGGTGTTTTATTGGTCTTCGCTCAGCCAATGAATGAATCGGTGAGCTCGCGCCTGTGCGAACTGGCGCCTGATGTTGCAGCCTTCCTTCCTGGCTAATGTCCAAGCAAGTTGATTTGTCCAAGTAATATTATGATCCAGACACAAAGAAACAACCAGTAATGTCTATACTCGGCTTGATTTATTCTATTCAACATAACTAGCCAGGTTTATCCGTAACAACATACTCGTTATACACGTTAGATAGACAACACTACTGACGCTGTAGTCTGCTTCATCTCAGTCTCAGATATAAATCATATGCTCTCGCATAGTCGCATTTCAAACATGTATATTAAGTGATCAATCTCTGCTCAGTTTGCACGCAGCCGCATGGTATGACCTGTTTACTGCCGATGGTCTTATTGTCCATACGGCAACCCATTTCTTATTGATGAGATTTGACATATCTGAGTTTTGTTTGTATGCACATGTTGTGGTTCAGTGCCAGCACGCCTGACCAATGATGTTACCAAGTTAAATAGCGTCTTCGGAAGCCACTGTAAACGATACTTGGAAAAGAAATGCATTAGAAAACACACATTTATGAGATTAATGCTTTTTCTGTTACCTTCCCGAAGTGTGCTGCCCAATGAATGGGGGTCCAGCCGTAAAACGAGTCTTCGGCAACTAGGTCCGCTTGTTTGGTGGAGCGCTGAAGCAACGAGCACAGAACGCCGACGTCTCCATCCCTGCATGCGCGGTGAAGCGGGTAACGTATGTCCAGCACCTCGTCGTTGGAGAAACCGGGCTCCAGCTCTACAGACATGCTCCAGCAGTTCTGCTGTGACGCGGGAAACACGAATTATTTGGCTTATGAACGCCCTAGGGGTGAACAAGGCGCTGTGCTCGGATAGCAGTACCGTAAACACCACAAGGAGGCAAATCAGGCAATGAGATTGAACTGCATTCTCTCAAGAAGTATCTTGAGTGGCTGTTTGAAAATCCCGTGCTGGAGTTCTTCTGGGGCTGGGGATCAAGTTTACCACAGAACGGCTCTGCTCCAGACAACCCAGAAAACCCGTCATGGATTTCTCCCAGGCTTGTTCATCATAGTTTTGAAACCAAAATACGCCGTTTCACTCATACCGTACAGAACAATCATGTGCATGGCGGTAATAATTATTAAAAGTAATATACTAATAATGCGAGGTGGTCTAAATTTAAACTGAATAGTGCTTTATATATGGTAACATCTAAAGTAACTGGTTTCATGCAAATAAAAATATAATTTAATCTGAGTATATGAATAATGCTTGAAGTTGAAGTAACCGTTAGGTCTATGATTAATCACGTTCACCTTTTTGTATTCACAGTACGTTTTCCTGAATCAAAAAGTTTATAACAAGTTTGTATGTTTTTTTTTTTTTTTTTTTTTTGTCCATCAGAATCATAGTCACCTGTCATTTCCTTTTGATTTTAGGGATAATTTGGGGTAGGGATAGGTTCAGGGATGGGGATAGTGTAGAACGAAGGATATTTTTGGACGGGAAATCAGAATGTTGTTCAAAATGTTGATCCAGGAAGAACATGTCTTACTTGGCAAAATCACGGTAACCAATTTTTACTCTACCCATATTCTGGTAGTGGCAATCCACAAAAAAAAAAAAATCCCGGAGGCGCGCATGTCTGCTCGGTTTGGGGGATGGGTGGCAGCCCTTGTTATGCGCCGAACAGTGGAGGGCGCTAAAGACGTCGTATACATTTTAATTAATAGGTCAGAGGTCTTTCGTCCAAATCCAGAGGTCTTGATCAAATTTGCACTTTTTGAAATGAAACAAACCAATACAACTAATGTTTCGTCTCTGTCATCTGCAGGAGAGGTAGCTAACTTTACCATTTTTACCAGTTCAAAGTTTGTTGTTGAGAAATTAGTTCAGTTAAGTGGATGGAAGTTTTTCGTGTTTAGCAAGCTGGTAAGCTAATTAAATGTTTGTTTGATGTTTCTATACCGCTTTAACCAGTTCAAGACTTTTCAAATAGACTTTGTCACCACAAAAGCATTTAGACCATAACGATGTTTTAAACTAGGATAACTGTTTGTTGTATCAAGACTAACGCAACCACCAGCATGATTACCACAAGATGTCATTGTTCCACCACTAAAACACGTTCGATAATGCTCAACACTTCAGGGGAGATTTTGTCCCGTACAGATGAACCTGTCCAATGTCAGACGTACACTGTAACCTTTGTCTTCCTCTAACAGTAAACAAAATGATCCTGTGTGTTTAAAGGATGTGGGATCAACAGATTGCTTCGTTCGAGTCAGAAAGCGAGACTTGGAGAAACTGGAGGCAGAAGTCAGAACACTACGAGAGTTTATGCCAAAAGTAATCAATTGCGACTTTATTGATACCATCCATAAAGGACGGTCTCTGGACGCATGTAAGCAAAAAACTCTTTTATAGTAAGTTTATAGTGCACAGTTATGACACGAACGAATATGGACTAAAATGATAACAGTATGTGCTTACAGACATCTATAGTAAGTTATAGATAAAGCTGAACTCAAGATTTTAAAGGTACAATATGCAAGATTGTTTCGCCACCAGGGGTCACTAACCTCTTACAATAACAAAGGCGTATATTATAATGACGTATATTTCGCATTAAAGAGCATATTGCAGGTAAAAAAAAAAATCGAAATTTATAGATAACCTTGTATGAAAATACCATATGAAAAGTTAATGCAGGATTTAAAATGTTTTAAAACAACATAAGGGCACTAATTTAGAAGATAAAGTGAGCGTTTCTTGGACTGCTAGTAAAAACGGCTTTTTTTTCAACATCGCGTCATTTGACGTCATATCAGGGAGCCTCAGCCTCGGCTCAGTGGAGAGCAGGCTGGTGTTCAGTGAGAGCGCTCGTCAGTCAGTGTGCTTTCGTTAGTTTTTGGATTTTAATTTATCATCGTCATGGTAAATTATTGTGCTTGTGGAGATTGCAAAAACTCCAGCCTGTCAGGACTTCAAGATCGAGTCCACAAGTTTCCATTACAATAAAAGTGACGGTGCTATATAGCCTATCTTTCGTTCCTGGTGCGGTTTGAGCAGGTGAAGAGACGGGATTTTTCTTCTGCATCGGCTCGGAAAACGCGTCGTGTGTAGCGTTCACTTCAGATCAAATGATTAGCATCCCGGCGATATGATGGAGTTCAACATCATGGTATGCCGAAGCAAGAATATTGATCGTCATATACTACCAATGGCATCAAATAGTGGTATATAGGTAACTTAGTCATGTCATGCCCTAAATAGAACTTATAATTGAAAAACAAAATTGGTTGTTTAAATACTCAAATCTTTAATGTTCTGTTTATGTTATAACCTAGGTGAAAAATATGTATTAAAAATTTACCTGAGTATAGCCTATGCTTTTAGTATAGAAATATACTCAAGTAAAGTTTTTATACATTTAATAGTATATAAATCTACCCTAAACATACCAATGTCTGCTGGCCTGTTATAGGATCATAATAATCTGTACAATATTGTGAGCACAGTGTATATCGTTAGCGAACGTGTATACTATAAGCACGTCTCTCACCTAAAAGGCACCTGTCCTGTTCTCCACTGGTTCTCCTCACATCACAGCTCAATTTTTCTCTGGCCATTCTGTCTGACATTATCCTGGCCTGTCCCTGATCTCTTTAGCATAGCAGGCTCTTAACTTTATGGCTTGATCCGTCATACGAGTATTTCCTCAGCGTCCGAAATGTCATGCGATTCATTGTTTTCCTGTTGTGTGAATCGACAGCTCTCCCGCTCATTGCGTCACGCCCGCCACGCCCATTTTCAGACGCGGAAGTAAAATTCTCTCACAAAAACGACTGCAGAAGCTTTTGTAGCGTGTTTATACGTATATTTTAAAGAAAATCTAGTTCCTACATTGTTTTTCTATGCATTGACTCGTTAGGTCCTCTAACCTGCAATATGCCCTTTAAAGGTATTGTAGGTAAGAATTTTATATATATAAAAAAACTTTTTCCAAATTTGTTTAAACTTTCTATATAAATCAATGCATAATTAAAATGTAAGTACTCTGATAAAAAGAGTATAAAAATCGAGTGACTACACCATTTAATCTGCACTAAAACACAGCTCATTATTTCCAACCGGGAGGAAACAAAGGATTGGCTTAGGCGACTGTCACTCTCTCGCAACCATGGCAATCACCCTTTTGCCACACAGGACCTGCCCACTTGCACGTATCCAGATCATATCTGTTCACATGCCCTTGTTTGAGCTTGAAGATACAAAACTCAATGCAGGTCCTCTTGTCCAAGACGCGCACTTTCCCTGCACTTCGACCACCCCGTCCTCGGCCTCTACTTCCTCGGACCCTAGTTGCACGGCCTCTTGCACGACTTCCTCTGCTTCGCCCTCAACCCCGGATCTGTCCTTGAGCTGACGATGCGGTAACATGACATCATGACTTTTGCTTAAACATACGCTTTCAAGTCAAGTATAATATGTATTTTGAGCTATCCGCGTGTATGCGTGTATGTCTACGCCGGTAAATGTCCGAGTGATTCCGCGTGTATGTCCACGCCGTTAAATGTCTGAGCGAAACGAAGCGAAATGTAGATCTAAATCTGGGGAGTGATTTTTTTTTTTTTTTTTTTTTTTCCTAGGATGGTAGGGGAAGACTCATAAATGCTATTAACCCCAGTGACGGGTAGGTTTAGGGACGGGGTTAGGTCACATTTATATGTGTTTATGAACGCCGTTGACTTAACGTTATTACTGTATATTAGGGGTGGAGCCGAACCCGAATATGGTATTCGGAAAGGCACAGATAACGTGTTTTTTACGAATACTTATTTCGAACAAATACTTAAAAAAAATATTTGTAATCGGGAAAAAGAACAACTTTATATCAAAAAACTGCGTGAGACTGCAGTGCGCGAGTGACGTTCAGGGAGAGGTGACTGATAGGCTGCTGTACACAGCAACAGAGGGCTCGGCTGAGCGAAAAACACTTAACTGCATCACTATTTTTGTTGAATAGATGTTTGTACCTTAACTGGGTTCTGGAGGCAGTTTATAACTTTCAGAAAATGGAGTTTGATCAGGAGATTATTCCATTACGCTGGATTATTGACGTCTGCAGTCGGATTCTCTCGTGTTCCCTCTGTTTACGCAGCTCTGTTAGTGCGGTAATTATTTGTTTTTATTATATGGCTTGTTAGATTTCTAATGTAGAATGCGGTTTGTTATTTCCATGGTTATTTCTTAATACCAGACCGCTGCTAATTATAACACGTTGCCATGGATTCTAAACGTAGAGACGGAACAGACTATTTTTTAGTGGAAGCAATACAATCGATTTAAATCAAACTCCTTTTTAAATCAATATTTTGAGTCAAATTATTGATTTATTTGGTAGGTAGCCTTGTAATAAGCGGGATAATGTACAAGCGAGGCGGTTGTTATAGCGAATACAAACCCTTCAGATTCAGGCTGATTCAAGACCGCTTCGTGTCGGCTCATAATCATCCGCCTCGCTATACATTATCCCTAACTTATTCTGTCTGTTCAGCGTCCTCCAACAAGGACAGGTGGTGGTGGGGTTCATAATGTTCACAATTGTATTTTATTAGTTGTTGGTTTAATCATGGATGAGGTAGTGGCTGTTATGTTATTTTAATTTCAATGACGTTCTTTGTTACATGTTCATTGCTGGATTTATAGAAAAACGTCAACCAATATTGCATATCCATAATTATAATAACGAATATAATTAAAGAATCCTCACACTATAACGTAAATTTGAAGTGTAACCATAAGTGTAACCCAAAAAAACAGATTTTTACGCCTATTTTGAATTCGAATACAAATACTTTTCCCCTCAACAAATACAAAAACAGATACAAATACCGGCTGCAGCATGCTTTGCACACCCCTACTGTAGCCTATATATACAGTGATAACGTTAAGTCAACGGCGTTCATAAACACTAAAACGCTGAAAAGCGATTATGCGTGTTGATAGAGTCAACAATGCTTTCATCATGGAAACTCTTACATGCAGAACATCATATATGTTATGAATCTTACACAAAATTCATCTTCATCACAGTGTAAATGATGGCAATGGAAAAACGTGTATCATGCAACCTGTTTTAAGCTTTGATAGATAACTAGCTCGTTAGCGAATCAATATATATATATATATATATATACACTCACCGGCCACTTTATTAGGTACACCTGTCCAACTGCTCGTTAACACTTAATTTCTAAGCAGCCAATCACATGGCGGCAACTCAGTGCATTTAGGCATGTAGACATGGTCAAGACAATCTCCTGCAGTTCAAACCGAGCATCATTATGGGGAAGAAAGGTGATTTGAGTGACTTTGAACGTGGCATGATTGTTGGTGCCAGAAGGGCTGGTCTGAGTATTTCAGAAACTGCTAATCTACTGGGATTTTCACGCACAACCATCTCTAGGGTTTACAGAGAATGGTCCGAAAAAGAAAAAACATCCAGTGAGCGGCAGTTCTGTGGGCGGAAATGCCTTGTTGATGCCAGAGGTCAGAGGAGAATGGCCAGACTAGTTCGAGCTGATAGAAGGGCAACAGTGACTCAAATAACCACCCGTTACAACCAAGGTGGGCAGAAGAGCATCTCTGAACACACAGTACGTCGAACTTTGAGGCAGATGGGCTACAGCAGCAGAAGACCACACCGGGTGCCACTCCTTTCAGCTAAGAACAGGAAACTGAGGCTACAATTTGCACAAGCTCATCGAAATTGGACAATAGAAGATTGGAAAAACGTTGCCTGGTCTGATGAGTCTCGATTTCTGCTGCGACATTCGGATGGTAGGGTCAGAATTTGGCGTCTACAACATGAAAGCATGGATCCATCCTGCCTTGTATCAACGGTTCAGGCTGGTGGTGGTGGTGTCATGGTGTGGGGAATATTTTCTTGGCACTCTTTGGGCCCCTTGGTACCAATTGAGCATCGTTGCAACGCCACAGCCTACCTGAGTATTGTTGCTGACCATGTCCATCCCTTTATGACCACAATGTACCCAACTTCTGATGGCTACTTTCAGCAAGATAATGCGCCATGTCATAAAGCTGGAATCATCTCAGACTGGTTTCTTGAACATGACAATGAGTTCGCTGTACTCAAATGGCCTCCACAGTCACCAGATCTCAATCCAATAGAGCATCTTTGGGATGTGGTGGAACGGGAGATTCGCATCATGGATGTGCAGCCGACAAATCTGCGGCAACTGTGTGATGCCATCATGTCAATATGGACCAAACTCCCTGAGGAATGCTTCCAGCACCTTGTTGAATCTATGCCACGAAGAATTGAGGCAGTTCTGAAGGCAAAAGGGGGTCCAACCCGTTACTAGCATGGGGTACCTA